AAGGCTGATGTCATCTCCATCGGCAACAGCATACAGCTAGAATGAAATGTGGAAGTACAACTTGAGAAGTCCAAGTCCGATTAGTTCGGGTTTTGAGAATTATTTGTTATTAAGTTTGAGAATTTCAAGTGAAATTATTATACCACAAATGCACCGCTTCTTGATATACGAAAATATGTGTTGTTAAAATGCGCGCAAGTATAACAGGGGCCTATTCTGTATCTTCCTCGGTCACCCTCAAGATACCACAGACTTACTTTACCAGTACCGCTTTCTTTACACTAGACTGAGGCACCTTAACACCATTTCTAGTCAGAACGCTTCGGAGCTCCGCAATGGTCATCGCCGCGTAGTTGCCAGGGGAAGAGCTCATTAGATTGCACTGTTTGTTACGCTGGAAAAATATTTCAGCGGTTGTTGTTAAGCGTAAAATCTTACGCCTTGAACGTATATGTGTTACACTTTTACGCTAGTTCTTATGAAAAGTACGAGACTTAGTGGGAACTTATGTAGCATAATAAATAAATATATAGTGCTAAGATATGCTAAGATATGCTAAGATATGCTAGTCCGTTATTTAGACATCCTTGCCCTCGTCTACGGTGGTTGTAGAGGTGATTTTTATTGGATCGATACGCACATGTCTGTAGTACAAGCCTGTACTACTGCTGCTTCTAAGGTTGCCTGCCGCTTCATCCCCCTCCTGAGTCCTAGTGCAGAAACTTCGGTGAGCACCCTCCTAGATTCATGGACATGTCAACCGGGAAACTCTGGGGCGTTTTTTTAGACGAGGGCAGTTGTGACGGTGGAAAATTAATCAAGGTGTTTTCAATCGGTAGGAGATGATCTTCTGAAAAGAAGGGATATCAAAGTATATCTAGGCGCGAAAAATTCCGATTTCGTGACGATTTTCCCCAAAACCGCCATATACAGCCTTCTGGTCGCCCAGCAACCAATACATACTCTAATCACAGGAGAGCGAGGATATACCCATGACTAACAACATCATCGTCTATACACAACAAGACTACTATATATATACAAGATGTTGTTATGATATTATGATAGTACATACTACATATACACGATTCTATATACCCCTCAAGCCACTTCTCATTGGTAATAAATGTAATTCCCCTCAAAATTTGCTATTAAGTGCAGTACGTGTCAATTCGATATGCAAATTTGCGTTAGAGGACATATTATAGTGAACAAGTTGTCGCTATCATCACAGTCCCCAAACGGGTACTCAACATCATCACACATGTTCATACACATTGCTACACTGTATATGTAATATTGCGATACTCACTAATCTCGGGAAAAACACACACATTTGCATATAAAATTGGCACACTGCATATACCTCATATCACTGATGACTAGTGATCGGCGTAATTCCCCTCACAATTTGCTATTTAATACACCACAAGTACCAACCTCCGAGATCATAAAATTTCCTCAGTTCCTCCTGAATTTCCTCAAATCTCTCATTAATACTCTCTTGCCCAACCTCAACCGCTAGTCGAGTTAGAGTATCCACATCCTTTCTGTTGAACCTAATCATAATCGATCAATCGGGCGAGCGCTAAATGCATGCGCGACTACCCTTGTTGAGCCAAGGAATCAGTGTCTAAAGAAGCTTGATCGGAAACTGTCACCAAACCAAGGGACCTCAGGATATCGATACCTGCCAAATTAACATCAACAGTAAAAATTTAAAAAAAAATCGCGTTAGACGACTGTTTTAACCCGCTACTAAACTGCCGTTTATTACCCGCCGAAGACACGCCATATGTGTTGAGTATATCCACTGTGAGTCTCATTGCATCCTGGAGAAGAAGGTGTTGTGTTGTTGCTGGTGAGGGCCGACTGGAAACCGAATCTGCTGCTGCTGCGCTGAACAAGCTGCTGTCAACCGTGTAGGAGGATAATGAATATTATCCTCCTACAAAGCAATAACAAGGAATCGAACCAGGGTCGCCTTCATGACAAACCAACACACTAACTCACTCACTTACTCAGCACTCTTCTCCAGACCCATACCCGATATAACCGAGAAAAGCGACGGTGCCGGGTACTCGTCAACTTGGATCACCGGTCCCCTTTCAGGTCCTTCGCAACCTCGGGAAAAACCCATTTTCTGATCCGCAACGCTCTTCGAGACGCCGTTCGAGATTGATGTTGGATTACTACGCATAGGCAAACGGAACGTTCAAGTCAACTGATCATAGCCATAGTCAACCACACCTTAAACACAACAACAACAATATCACTGATAAATAGAAACATCCGTACGCATATAGAATCTGTTAATTCAACCTTCTTGCCCAACACCACCCTGATAAGGTCATGATGGTATTCCAAACTAGCATACGCTCCACTAGAGCGGCCCTAGTCTTATCTTCATCAATCGAATCTGACCATCATTGGTAAATTTCGCGCGCCACAAAATTAAGATCGATGCAAAGACTACCAAAATAAACTGAGTTACAACATCCAATTCAACGCTCATTCACATATACCCATAAAATTCGAGCACGAGTGAAAAAGTCCAATTTCGATAGAGAAATATATACGCCCAAATTTAACATCAAACTGACGCTCAGGGTAAACCAACTTCATGTGAGAAAAAAATTCTCAAAACGAAAAAAATTTCAGTTTCTTTCTGGAAATTTTTCGTTTAATTTCAAAAAAAAATCGTCAATCCTCCAGCGGGAATGGAGGATTAAGGAAAATCATCCATCACAAGTGTCCATAAATACATAGACACTCTTTATTACCATTTGCTGATTGCCTTAACACGAGTATATTAACAAACCATAACTCTCCGCATCTGCTCAGCATCCCGCCTCGTGCGCGTATCAGCTTTGGAACGCTTGTTAACTTAGTCAAGTTCCATTCAAAGTTTCGATGCTATTCATCACTACACGTTGCAGACCTATGAAAACATCCCTAGCGGAGCGATGTAGCTATATGTTCATACGAAAATGTTGCTAAATGCATACATTCACATGGTTGAATTTTTCATAAAATCGTTGAAAAAATTTGAGAAAATGATCAAAATACGTATCAGGGATACCCAAGCAACTAATCTAGATAGGGATGGGGTAGAAATCACACAAAAAGGCAATCGATTTTTACGCCACTTCACGTGAAACGGGTTGTTAAACTCCAACATTACTGATGAAATCCCACTGCTTCCAGCCAGTGACTCCAACAATAGCAGTGGTTGTGTTCTCACTGCTGCTGCTGCTCTTGGTGACCAGGCGTTGGTTATCATATGACTCACCGGTTACCTCCTATATTTGAAGTAGATAGTACCTAAGGAGATGGTGATGCATATCGCGATTCAACATGGTATCAATGGTATACCAACAACAGCCTACCTAACCAGCTTAAAGAGGCGAATAGATTTAGGGCATATGCATTGACAACTACGAAGGCACCTGCGTAAGGTGAGGAGGTACCTAGAACCCCCCAAGCCCCTGATAACAGTTACCTATGTCACTATGATCCATCAGTGATTCGTCAGCCATGAGTAGGAGTGATACAATAGTGGTAGTGAAGGTATGCTTTTTTTCGCCCCTATGGGTGGTAATACACTTTATGACGGACATCTTCTCCAGTAGCTGTAGTCGGAGTAGTTGGCCAGGAGTATGGTTTCAATACCAAGTACCCCATCCCATGGTCAAACCGATATTGCGGCTCGGCCGCTTCTGATGCACCATCAGCATGATCACCATCATCCACATTATTAAGTAGAGAGTTTTGGTACTCCCAGGGCTGGGAGTACGAGAGGGATCAATACCAAGGAGGCACTTCACCAATACAGTCATACCACCTGACAGGGTAGTATAGTGAAGTGAACACCTGCCAGGGGGATCTTATGTACTCACTATGATGAAATTAGTATTATTACCACTGCCATCACAAGTCTCACAATTAAGGGATGTTTGTATACCCTTAATAGCCTGTTGTAGAGTTTTATAGGATATGCTTGGCTGCTGTTGTTTCCCCACCACCTTAGGCATGCATAGCCTCCCAACCCTGACGGAACTGTCCAGAAGATAGACGACCTCTTGGGGATATATGATCCCCAATAGTAAGAGTGATCTGATCGAGAGGCAACGAGTCTATGAAATGTTGTTATGATGTTGGAAGAGTACATCCTCGACAGGGTAATCATCCTTATACCCTATGTCGTCACCATCCTCCCAGTAAACTCTAGGCATGCTCCAAACCTCGTGTATACCACCGTCCACCTTTTGTAACACTACATAGGCTCATCCGCTCTAAGTAACAGCAGCAACAGTAGTAGTGATAGGAGGTGTTATTACATCACCAGAGGCCAGTGTAGCAATACCAAGCTCGCCCATCTCCTGGAAGAGGCCTGTCTCCTCTACACAACTTAACGGTTATGTTATCCAATTGTACGTCCTCCAGAGTATTGGTAACAACGAGCACCTACACGATGATGATTCACATGGTCCACACTAATATGACTACTACCAGATATGTTTCCTCCCTCTAACACGATATTCAGCTTCTTGCTCTGACATCAACAACATCTGACCTCGACTCGAGTGTAGGAGAGTGAGCCTCTGTGTCACTGGCACCCCCAGCAGCAGGTCTTGCACCACCCATCCTCGCTATAGCACTCAGACACCTCCATGGCCTGTTGACGCTCAATCTCCATCTGAAGAGTGATAGTACACCATCGCCATCCATGGTGTACTACTACTACCTCTCTCATCTGAGCTCTATAAGCCTCGGGTGTTGGTAGGATACTAGTGTCAAGCTCCTTATCAGTGTCAGCTCCTATCAAGCTGAATTAATGGAATCAAATATATATTTCCACACTGCTATAACGGGTTTTCGTCCGATCACTGAACGACTCCGTGAGAGGAAAATCGAGGAAAAACAAAAAAATCCTGGGGGTGGCATAGTTGCCCCATCCCTAATAGCCTCTCCCTGATAAGGCATCTCAAGGTGATTCCGAGCACGGCTCCCTGTACCTCTTGGGGGTGGCATAGTTGCCCCATCCCTAATAGCCTCTCCCTGATAAGGCATCTCAAGGTGATTCCGAGCACGGCTCCCTGTACCTCTTGGGGGTGGCATAGTTGCCCCATCCCTAATAGCCTCTCCCTGATAAGGCATCTCAAGGTGATTCCGAGCACGGCTCCCTGTACCTCTTGGGGGTGGCATAGTTGCCCCATCCCTAATAGCCTCTCCCTGATAAGGCATCTCAAGGTGATTCCGAGCACGGCTCCCTGTACCTCTTGGGGGTGGCATAGTTGCCCCATCCCTAATAGCCTCTCCCTGATAAGGCATCTCAAGGTGATTCCGAGCACGGCTCCCTGTACCTCTCGGCGGTGGCATAGTTGCCCCATCCCAGGAAACTCAACGGAAAATCAACAGGAAACTGATGTTCCCAATGCGATGATGACATTTACATGGGGGAAACTGATGTGTTCCCAGCCATACGTGGAAAAATCAAAATGAGTTCCTCTTCCGAGAATATTATAGGTTCCTGGATGATTTCTTGCGTACAACTTTCAATTGATGAATTCTGAGGACTTTCACATGACAGAACAGTTGAAACGATCATCCGAACGAATTATCATTATTCAATGGAGTTTCACCCGTTTTACGTCAAGTGGCGTAGAACTCAGTGAAAAAAAAACCCGAGATTCACGATATGCAGTAGTCGCGAAATATGTTTTGTACGGGTGTCTTCCACATCACGGGTGAAACTCCAATATACTTTCATCACATAAAATGATGCATCCATTTCCTGTTACAATCCTCCGCAGGAACAAGCGGAGGTGATTCTGTATATGGATTAAGACTCGAGGTTTATATCAAATTGTGGAGCGAGCGGAGCATATACTCTCACTTTTCTGTGCGATCATTCATTCAACTATTTCTCTACGACCACATCAGTGAAGCTCTCGAGACACATACCATTAGAAAAAGTGTAGTTCATGTGTCTTGCAAAGACTACCGACAATGTTTTTTGCTATGACAGTGAGAACGGAAAATACTTGCAAAAAGCCCGTACCGGGGATCGAACCCGCGGCCGTTACATACAACCCGAGCTCCATTTCTTCGTCTCGAATGCCTAGTTTGATCATGTACTTCATAGTGCACAATTTGGTAACCCTCAATATGAATTGAACACAGCTAACGCGACACCGAATATAACGAAATTCGACCTGAATTACATTGTTGAATTACAGTGAAACAGCATCGATGATGATCGACGCAAGGCGCAGATAATCGTGAACCCTGCCCGGCACGCGTTAATCCTCCTTTCCCTATCCGATACCCCCGATATAGGAGAGTCATCACGGTAGTGACTACTAAATAATAGACTACTCAGTACTGTACTGAGTGATCTATTATTTGCCTCAGTTTACATTCCCGTTTCAATACCACTCTGTAACCAACACAACGCCTCCAAAGAATAGTGAAATGATACGATGGGCTTCCTATGGTACACCATGGGCCAGCTCATGCTACACCAATTACATCGCAAAATA